TCTGTCTCAAAAAAATCAATCAATAAATAAATACATTTTCCCAGTAAACAGACCCTTTTATCATTATGTAATCTTGCTGTTTATCCCTGATTGTATTCCTTGTTCTGAAGTCTACTTCATCTGATAATAATATAGTCATTTCTGCTTTTTTGTTAATGTTTGCATGGTGTATCTTTTCCCCACCATTTAACTTTTATCTATGCCTTTATATTTAAAGTATGTTTATAGTTGGATACTGCTTTTTCATTCAATCATAGAATCTCTGTCTTTTAACTGGTATATTTAGATCATTGACATTTGATATTTTTAAATATATAGTTAGATTAAAATCTATCCATCTTGTTAACTCTGTCCTTTGTTCTATCTGTTCTTTGGTTTTTGTTCTGTTTTTGCCTTCTATGGTCTAAATGACCATTTTTAATAATTCTATTTTATATTATTGTTTACATCTAATTAAACATTTTCAGTTGTTACTTTACATCTTCAATTGGAATATACATTCAAATAATATACAACTTAACATGTTAAGATCTTATATATTCCCATTTTCTCTGACATCCATTATGCTTGTCATATTTTACTTTTATATGCTGTTTACCTGGTACATTTTTACTCTAAGACAGCCAGTTACTTTTTTAGGTAAGTTTTAAAAGTTATTACATTCATGTATTCCATTTCCGCATCTCTTCATTTCTTTGTGTATCTCCAAGTGTCTGTTGTGTTTCACCGTCCTTCTGTTTGAAGAACTTTTCTTGTAGAGTAGGTCTTAATGTATTATTCTCTCAGTTTTGTTTCTCTTGAGAGTATTTATCAATTTGAAAGATTTTCATGAACATTTCGTGAAGACAGTTTTTTTCTTTAGCTCTTAAAAGATGCCATTACATTGTCCTCTGGCCTGCAATACTTCTGATAAGTCTGCTGTAAGTTTCTTAACTTTGTTCCTCTATATGTAATTTTTTCCCCTCTCTGGCTTGCTTCAAGATTATTTCCAGTAGTTTGAACATAATATGGCTGAGGTGGTGTGTGTGTGTGTGATTTTAATATTTATCTTTCTTGAGGTTCTCCGGGCTTCATAGATTTGTGTTCTGGATTCATAAATTTTGGAAACATATTGGCCATTATGTCTTCAAATATTTCTTCTGTCCCACTTATTATATATCTTCTGGGATTCCAATTATGTGTATGTGTTGGACCAATGGATATTTTCTCAGAGCTCTTGGATTCTCTGTTCCTTCTTGTCCTACCCCACCCGACTTATGTTTAACTTTTATTGTCCAAACGTCAAATTCATTTACCTTTTCCTTGACTATGTCAAGAATATTGATGAGCCCATAGAAGACATTGTTCTGCTTTTTTCATTCCCAGTATTTCCATTTTATTCTTATAGTTTTGGTGTCTCTGCTCAAATTACCCATCTAATCTTGCCTGTTGTGCACTTTTCCATTACAACTCTTAAGATACTACTCATAGTTCCTTTGAGTTCCATGTCAGTCCAACAGCTATGTATTTCTGAGTCTAGTTCTGATGAATGTTTTGTTTCTTGGTGGGGTAAGGTGTTGATTTTTGCATTTTTGTATGCCTCATAGTTTTTGTTTGTTTTTTCCTGAAAGCCAAGTATCTTCTGTAGAACAACAGATATGAAGGTAAATAAATTTAATTCCTGGAAAGGGGATGTTTTTCTATGTAGTCTTTAGCGTGTGGGAGATGGGTGGGTAAGATTTTTATTATTATAGCTAGGAATTGAGGAAGGCTTATGGTTTGTTGTTGCTGTATTATCGTAAGTTCACCAAAGGTTTCAGATATGAATAGTGATTCCTTATCTTTGGGGTCAGAACTGATTTTCCCAAGGATCTATCTCAATGTCAGGGTGACCTTAAGGTTTAGGTCCCATTGGATTATGCTTCAGAAACCCCATCTATACTATTTTCATTCATTCAAATATTTATTGAGTGCTTACCATTGAACTATGTGTCATTGTCCTAAATGTTGGAGCTTGTAACTCCCTAAATACTCTATTACTATTTGCTATTATTTTATGCATCTGTAATTTTCTCTTTGCCTTCAGTAGCTTTCCAACTTTTGTGTGCCTAGTAAATTCATGTTCTTCCTTTAATGCTATCTGCAAAAACAATCCCTGTCCCCATACCTCCATCACCATGAAGTTTATCATCCTCTTCTCTGTACTACCTATGCACCTTATACAGAATTCCGTATTACCTGAATTCCCTGGTAAACTGTAAGTGTCTGTTGCAAGGACAGTGTCTTATTCGTTTACATATCCCCAGGATTTAGCAGTGATTGGTCCAGGGTATCTACATGCACAACAAATATGCAGCTAAAATGTTTGCTAATGAAAACTGGAAATCTATAGGTGTCTATTAAAAGCAAAATACTGTAATAATGGGCTCTCCTACAACAGTCTAGGAATAAAGCAAAACATTTTTCTTGCCAGTTTTTTCAGGACTTTAAAAAAAACACAAAGTTGATTTCCTTCTTAGTTTGGATATATTTTTAAAATTCATGTAATGCAAAATAATTTAAATAATAAATGATTCAGCCTATTGGGATGTAACTGAGTTCCAAGCATTTGGAGGACACATAAACCCAAAGTTATCTTACCTTTATGGCACTTTCACTAATGCCTTTAAGAGTTTAAGAAAAGGAGAGAATAGACAAAACTAGATGAAATGAGGATTTTTGACTAGGCCAGAAATAAATCAGTGAAGATATGCAATTCTCACAAGTAATTCCAAGTTAACTTTATCATGTATTGCCATTCTAATGCTCTCTTGAAATCCCCAGGAGGAACAAGAAATGCAATAGGCAATGAGATAAGCCTGAGGAAATTAGGTTACCGTGGGCAGGGCATCCTCTTGCTTCTCCCCAGTCTTCAGGTGTGTCACAATTCATTCGGGACTGACGTGTATTTGTATGGCAGATTGGCAGAGGAATTAACAAGCTAGAGGGTGTGTGTAGAAAAGAGGGGGAAAAAAGGACATGCCTCTGGATGAGTAACCTCTGTGCTGTTTGCTCACCCATTTGCTCCAAGGGGTGGATTTTTATACTTGCTTTACAAATATGAAAGAACAAGTTTAACTGGGAAGTTAGTTGTACTATCCTGTATGCATGCTCACCCCTCACAATTTGGATTGTTGTTTTATCAATTGTGGTCAAAGTTAGGATGACCTAACCCATGTACATTCCACAAAGTCATCTTAAACTTTAGGTATTCTCAAAAATAGCTTTTACAGAAGGAAAACTTACACAGAAGAGCCCAACTGTATATGATCCAATTGCAAAAAAGTTCTCTGATTTTATTTCTTATATATTTGGCACAAACAGCAGAGACTGAAAGTTACTACACATGTTGAACTGCTGACAGGAAAAGAACCCAGTATATAAATCTAGGGTTTCCACTCCATATATTAGTTTGGGCTGCCATTACAAAACATCATAGACTGGGTGGCTTAAACAACAATTTACTGCTCACAGTTCTGAAGCCTGGAAGTCTGAGAACAGGTGGCCAGCATGGTTAGGTTCTGGTGAGGGCTCTCTTCCTGTTTTGTAGACAGCTGGCTTCTTGCTGCATCCTCACATGGTGCAGAGAGGAAGCAGACTTTCTGATGTCTTTTTTGTTTGTTTGTTTTTGAGACACAGTCTCGCTCTGTCACCCAGGCTGGAGTGCAGTGGCGTGATCTTGGCTCACTGCAACTTCTGCCTCCTGGGTTCAAGCGATTCTTCTCCCTCCACCTCCCGAGTAGCTGGGACTACAGGCAAATGCCACCATGCCCGGCTGATTTTTGTATTTTTAGTAGAGACGGGGTTTCACCATATTGGCCAGGCTGGTCTCGAAATCCTGACCTCGTGATCCGCCCACCTTGGCCTCCCAAAGTGCTGGGATTACAGGCATGAGCCACTGCGCCCAGCCCAATGTCTCTTCTTATAAAGGCACTAATCCCATCATGAGGGCTCCACCCTCATGACCTCATCTAATTCTAATTGCCTCCCAGATGCCTCATTTCCAAGTAACATCACATTGATGGTGAAGATTTTAACATAATGAATTTTGACGGGGGGGAAACACAAACATTCAGTCCATAACAACTCATATTTCATCACTTATTGCATACCAGTCTTGTTACATGAAAATACCAATGTTTATTCATATAAATATAGATGATTTATTTCCAAATAAAACAATACTGATTTCTCCTGGCTTTGAAATCCTCATTCTTCACTGTATCTTGGTTCTTTTACTGATAGCTTGTCTCAGCCACGTTAGATGTTCACACCATGAAGATCATATATTCTCATATCCATGGAGATGGTACCATAAGGTTTCTACTGTTACACACCATTGAGTGAATGATGCCTTTATCTACCTAAAGACTCACTTTTCTTTATTCTCACCCACAAGTTTGTCAGTTGAAAGTGGTACCCTGTTTTGCCAAGAAGTTCCTGATATTTGATAGTTCTAGATCTGAGAAACAGACTCAAATTCTTTCTTCTGTGATCTTAAACCAGGCTCAGAGCCCCATAATGGACTTCAGAATTATACTTTGTTGTATGTGACCAATGAATTATCTTTAAAACTATGCTGGAAGTAAAATATCAATCTTTTTTTTTTGACACAGAATCTTGCTGTGTTGCCCAGTCTGGAGTGCAGTAGCACAATCTCTGCTCACTGCAACCTCCACCTACTGGGTTCAAGTGATTCTCCTGCCTCAGCCTCTCCAGTAGCTGAGATTACAGGTGCTCACCACCATGCCCAGCTAATTTTGTATTTTTCAGTAGAGATGGGATTTCACCATGTTGGCCAGACTGGTCTCAAACTCTTGACCTCATGATCCGCCCATCTCAGGCTCCCAAAGTGCTGGGGTTCCAGGTGTGAGCCACTGTGCCCAGCCAGTCATTCTTATCAAATAAAAAATGATCTTCATTTCCTGCCCAGCCAGTCATTCTTATCAAATAAAAAATGATCTTCATTTCCTGCCCAGCCAGTCATTCTTATCAAATAAAAAATGATCTTCATTTCCAATGGCTGACCAAACTTCTGAGTTTCCTTCAGTTAATTTCAAATCCTGAGGTCAAAATCACCAATGACTTTTGCTCTTTGGCTTTCAAAGTGGGACATATCATCAAATGGTCCCATATACACAAAATTTACATTATAGACAAATAAATATTTGCCATATCTTTGATAGCCTCATTCGTTGATTTTATAGATTTAAAACCACCTTAGGCTTTTTCTTCAGAATGTGTATTCTGATGTCGAATCAGGGATGAGCTCCGACTATATGCCTTCCCACATTTACTACATTCATAGGGTTTCTCTGAAGAATGACTTCTCTGATGTCGAATAAGGTCGGAGCCACTGCTAAAGGCCTTTCCACATTCATTACATTCATAGGGTTTCTCTCCAGTATGACTTCTTTCATGTAGAATAAGAGATGTGCGCTGACTAAAGGCCTTACCACATGTTTTGCATGTATATGGCTTCTCTCCAGTGTGAATTCTTTCATGTTGGGCAAGGTGTGCGCTCTGGCTGAAGGCCTTCCCACACTGATCACATTCGTAGGGTCTATCTTCAGTATGAATTCTCTTATGTCGCGTGAGAGAGATTCGGTGGCTGAAGGCTTTTCCACATTCCTCGCACTGGTAGGGTTTTTCTCCAGTATGAATTCTTTGATGTTCAATAAGAAATGATTGGCGGCCGAAAACTTTACTACATTTATTGCATTTGAAAGGTTTCTCTTCAGAATGAATGTTCTGATGTATTTTAAGGTTTGCAGTTCCAGAAAACATCTTCCCACATTCCTTACACTCAAATAGTTTCTTTTTCTTTGTATGAACTTTCTGATGTTGAATAAGGGATGAATGCCGATTGCAGACCTTCTCACATTTATTGCATCTGTATAGATTTTCTCCATTATGAATTCTTAGATGCAGAATAAGGGTTGAAAGCCGCCTGAAGAGCTTGTCACATTTATCACATTTGTATGGTTTCTCTGAAGTGTGAATTCTCTGGTGAAGCATCAGGGGTGAAATCCTATTAAAGAATTTCCCACATTTTCTGCATTTATAAGGATTCTCTAAATGGTGATTTCTTTGCTGTAGACTCTGACTTAAGGCCTTCACATTTTCAGGGATTTTCTCTCCAGCATGAATTCTTTTATTTATAACAAGGGCTGATTTCTTTTTGAAGCCTCTCCCACATTTATTATATTTATGTGTTTTCTTTCCATTGTGAATTCTTTTATGAAGTAAAAGGGATGACATCTGACTGAAGGCTTTCCCACACTTTTTGCACTGGCAGACATTCCCAACAACGTGAATTTTCTGATGTATATTGAAAGACTGACATTGACTCAAGGCCTTCTCACAGTCAAGAATTTCCTTTCCATCATGAATTCTCCTATGTAGAATAAGGGTTGTTCTTTGATTGAAGCTTTCCCCACATTTATCACATTCATGGCTTTTCTTTCCACTGTGAATTCTCTGATGAAGTACGAGGGATGAGATCTGTCTGAAAGCTTTTCTACAATTACTGCATTCAAAAGGCTTCTCTCCAGTATGAATGTTCTGATGAAGTTTAAGAGAGAAGCTTCGACTAAAGGTTTTACCACAGTCATTACATTTTAAAGGTTTCTTCCCGGAATGCCCTTTCTTAGCCTTTATTAGGACTGAATTTTTGTTGCAGCCACTCTTTCGTGTAGGAGCTTTTGGTTGTGCAGAAACTAGTTTCTGGCAGATGCTTTGCCCAGATTTGCTGCATTGATTTGGAGGTAACTTCTTGGTCTCACACTTAGACCCCGAGTCTGAAAGACATAAATGAATTAAATGTTTCTCCTTTCCTGTGCTGAAAAAATGAAGATTCTACAATATAAATGCAATTATCATTATTAATCATAACAATTTTGATTACCAAAACAATAACTTTTTAGTGTTTTATTATGGTTTTGATGACCATACTAAAGGCTTTACAGAGATATTTAATAACCAGAATTCAGAAGAGTCTGTAATTGGAAAATGAGTAAGTTAAGATTTTATTTATAGGATAACTTTTATGCCATATACTGCACATTGAACTCCACAGGTTGTTCACTGGATAAACATATGTTTATTGGAGAATGTGTCCAGAAACGGCAAATCTACAGAAACAGAAGATAAGTGGTTGCCTGGGACTCAAGGTAGGAATGAGGATTAACTGTAAATGGGCATGAGGAATCTTACAGGGGTGATAAAAATGTTCTAAAACTGGATTATGTTGATGGTTACACACTCTGTAAGTTTATCCAAAATCATTTAATTATATTCTAGATATAGTGACTTTTATGATGTTTACCTTAATAAAGTTGTAGATTTAAAAAAATGTATTCTTAAGATCAAATTGAAAAAGAACTAGTAACAATTAGAACTGAGTACAGTCACGTGTTGCTTAACAATGGGGATATGTTGTAAGACATGCATTGTTAGGCAATTTCATCAATGTGCAAACATCTTATAGTAGATTTACATAAACCTAGATAGTATAGCCTATACACCAATGTTATATTGTATAGCCTGTTCCTAGGCTACAAACCTGTACGTGATGTTACTGTATTGAATCCTGTAGGCAATTTTAACACTATGATAAGTATTTGTGTATCTAAATATACATACATGTAGAAAAGGTACAGTACAGATACAGTTTTATGATCTTATAGAACCGTGGCTGTTTATGTAGTCTGTTGTTGACTGAAACATCATTATGCAGCATATGACTGTATGTAGATATTTACAAAGGTGAGCACTTTAACAAGAAGCAGGAAAAACTCAGAAAAATAGGTAAGAGATTAGGCTAAAAGAAGGAATCTATTATTTAGTAAAATAGACCAATATGGCTGGCACAGGGTGTCAAAGTCCAAGATGATATAAAATAACTACTTGTGTAGCAAACTGACTATAAACCTGAGTGAATGTGGAATGATAAACATAGGTTTAGAACTATGCTATCCAATGTAGTAGCCATTAGTCACCCGTAGCTACTGAGGAACTGAAATGTGGCTGGTTTTGAGGTATATTACGAGTATAAAACATATGCCAGATTGTGAAGATTTACTACAAAAAAGTGTAAAGTATCTCATTGTGAAAAGACTGGTTATATGATATAATACGTTGGATCTATTAGGTTAAATAAATATATCACTAAAATTAATTTTACCTGTTTGTGTTAGGAAGTTCTTATACTGCTATAAATAAATACTTGAGTGGGTAATTTATAAACAAAATAGGTTCAATTGGCTCATGTTCTGCAGGCTGTACAAGCATGGTGCTGGCACCTCCTTGGCTTCTGGGGAGGCCTCAGTGAGCTCTTACTCATGGTGAAAGTCCAAGTAGGAGAAGGCACATCACATGGTGAAACAAGGATAAAGACAGAGTGTGGAGGTGGTGCCACATATTACAACAATCAGATTTTGTAAGAACTCACTCCCTATTGCTAAGACATCACCAAGGGAATGATGCTAAACCATTCATGAGAAATCCACCCCCATGATCCAGTCACCTCCCACCAGACCCCACCTCCAACACAGGGGATTAAATTTCAACATGAGATTTGGTGGCGACACAGATCCAAACCATATCACTGTTTTTAAATTTTTATTTGAATGTGGATACTAAAGATTTTGTCAGTACATATGTGGCTCACATTATATTTCTATTTCCTAGCTGTGCTTTAAACACAGACATTACTGAATTAACTGAGGTGTTTTTCATTTAACTACATAAGCTTGTGACTCACTTGTTAACTCTATTACCATAAGCATATTATCTTGAAAATATAATCACCTACCTCACAAGATTTTCATGAGAATTGGAAATAATGTGCAAAATTTCTGGCACACGCTGTGACCTCTGATCTGCCATTCCAGTATTCAAAAAGCTGAGAACCAAAGTCTTTCCTTTTTTCTTTTCCTTTTTGAATGTTTGGACGTTTGGAGTGAAACCCCGTCTGAAATGCAGTAAGACTGTTCATAGCCTCCATTTATTGCTCTTGGGAAGTCTAGTCTTCGTAGCTATCTCAGTGTGTTTGATTTTGGGGTGCTGCTCCAGCCTCTGCTGGGTATGTTATGCCACATATAGTATATGACCTGTTTTCCTTTCTAAAATCTGCACAATTCTGAATTGTGAAACACATATTGCTCCAAGGGTTCTAGAGAAAGCTTTGTCGACCTGCAGTTGCCTAATAACTGGTAGTAGCTACCATTATAATTATTAATAGTAGAAGTTCCAGAAAACAACCAGACAAAATAAGGAATTAACACAGGAAGACAATGGAAATGTTTACAGTGAAGTTAGCCGCATCAGCAAAACAAGAAACCCAGGATTCCTCCTGTAGTCCTTCCCACCCCACATCCCATTAAGTCACATCAGTTAAGCTGCTTCTCCCTCTCACATTCTCCTAAAACTCTTAGCTTCCCTTCCTTTTCCTTGGTACCTTCCTTTGTTCCTTCTTGTGTGGAATACTAACATATCCTCTTAGCCCATCTCCCCATCTTCAATGTGGAAATCCTTAAACCACACCATACACCAAAATTAATCCCAGGTAAATTAGTTCAATATGAAGTACAAAATCACTACAAACTAAAATAATAGGAAATATACCCCAAATTCTAGAAACCAGATGAATTTCTAACTAAGGAAATAAATAAAAGAAAAATTACATTGTGAATGCCAACACTTCCAATCACACAAAAATGAAAAAAACTTTCATATAACCAAACAGAAAAATAAGAGGTAAATAAAATAAGTCTTAGGAAAGAATGTGGAAATATTTGAAGTAAAATGTAATGTCATATGGTTAATGCATTTTCTATATGAAAGCTTACTATACAAGCAGAAAATAAAAAACAAAGTCACTGTTAGATAAAAGAAGAAGGATCATGAAAAAACAATTCACGAGAATAATTACAAACAGAAAACAAATGCTAGCAAATCTACAAGAAAGATTTATGGCCTATCCAGTACGGGTAAACTCATGTGGATATCCAGTCTATTCACAAGGGCTCAAGAAACAAACTGGTACTTCGGAGACTGAGGCAGGAGGACTGCTTGAGCCCAGGAGTTTAAGGCTGCAGTGAGCCATGACTTCTCCACTACACTCCAGCCTGGGTAACAGAAGACCCTGTCCCTATCTCCTTAAAACAAACAAACAAACGTGGCGACTCACACATTTAATCCCAGCACTTTGGGAGGCAAAGGTGGGTGGATCACGAGGTTAGGAGTTCGAGACTAGCCTGACCAACATGATGAAACCCCATCTCTACTAAAAACACAAAAATTAGCTGGGTGTGGTGGTATGTGCCTGTCATCCCAGCTACTCAGGAAGCTGGGGCAGGAGAATTGCATGAACCCAGGAGGCGGAGGTTGCAGTGAGCTGAGATCGCGCCACTGTACTGCAGCCTGGGCGACAGAGCAAGACTCCATCTCAAAAAACAAAACAAGAAAAAAGGAGAAAGTGGAGGAGCCAGATGGCCAGAGCCCTCCAGCGATTGTCCCCTCTGCAGTAACACCAAATTGAACAACTATCCACATAGGAAAACACCTTCATAGGAACCAAAAATTAGGTGAGCAATCAAAGTATCAGGTTTTAACATTGTATTCAAAGAAAGAGGCACTGAGGAGGGTAGAAAAGACAGTCATCATTTGCCTGCACCACCCCTCCCCCAATGCCTGGCAGTGCAGCACGGCAACAAGAGAGAATCTATGTGTTTGGAGGAGGAAGAATAGAGTGATGGTGGGACTTTGCATTGGAACTCAGCGCTGCCCTGTCACAGCAGAAAGCAACGTGGGGCAGAATTTGGCCAGCACCCCCAGAAGAAGCATTTAAATCAACTCTAGCCTGAGAATTGTCCACCACAGTGGTGGAAACTTGAGTTCCAGCAAGTACCCCCACTACAGACTAAAACACTCTGGTGTCCTAAGTAAATCTGAAAGGCAGTCTAGGCCACAAGGACTGCAATTCCTGGGCACGTCCTAGTGCTGTGCTTGGCTCAGAACCAGTGGACTTAGGGTACATGCTACCCAGTGACACACCAGCTGGAGTGGCCACGAGAGTGTTTGTATCAACTCTCTCCCACCTCCTGGCAGCACAGCTGGCAGCTCCAGCAGGAGAGGGACGAGTAAAGAGGACATTGTCTTGCAACTTGGATATGAGCTCAACCACAGTAAAATAAAGTACCAAGCAGTGTCCTGAAGGCCTCATTCTAGGCCATAGCTCCTGGACAAGATTTCTAGACCTACCCTGGGCCAGAAGGGAACTCGCTGCCCTGAAGGGAAAAACAGGCCTGGAAGAATTTACCACCTGATGAATTAAGACCTCTTGGGCTTCAAATAAACATCTGTGGTAGCCAGGCAGTGGTAACCACAGCCCTTGGGCAAGAATGAGTACTATGCTGGCTTCAGGTCAGACCCAGCACAGTCCAGTGGTGGTGGCCATGGGAGTGTTTCTATCACCCCTTCCCCAACTCTAGGCAGCTCAGCACAGACAGAGAGACTCCATTCATTCAGGGAAAGTAAGGGAGAAGAATGACTTCCTGGTAATCTAGGGAATTCTCCTGGATCTTACCAAAAACCACCAACGCAGTACCTCTGTGAGTCTACAAGAGTCACAGAGTTACTGGCTATGGGGTGATCCCTAATGCAAACATGGCTGCAGTGAACAAAGACAGACCCTAGCCCCTTTGAATACATGGCAAGTCTTCTCTGGAAGGACCAGTACAAACAAGCCCAGACTACAAAGATAAGAATAAATACCTAACTCATCAATGACCAGGTA